AGAGGGCAGAGGTCAAAGGTATTAGATGTCATGAATGCAAGGTGATAGCCCAGTGTAGGAAGTCCCTCCATGTGCTCACAGGTCAAATCTCCTCCTCCTCCTAGCCTTTGTTTAGCTGATGCCAAACATGTGAGGCTTTCTCCCACACATCAAGGAACACTCTAGCGCTCTAGACACCAACTGGATTATCCTGCAACTCCATTTTGGCACTATTTTTTTTTTTTTTTTTTTGGCGGAACCGGGAATTGAATTCAGGCCCTTGCACTTGCCAGGGAAGCGCTTATTCCACTGAGCCATCTCCCCGGCCCCTTAACACTACTTGAAGTTAATGAAGATTAAACAAATTAAGGCCTCAGTCTCATAAACTGAACCCTCCTTCAGGTGCAAATCACAAGTCAAGGCCACTCATACTGCTATCAACCAGCTATAAAAGCAGGGTGTTCCCATAATCACCTCCTTGGGTTTAATACTTTGTTGTAAATGACTTACAAAACTCAAGGAAGTACTGTCATTTACCAGTTTATGAAGGATACAACTTGGTAACAGCTCATTGAAAGAGCTGCATAGGACGAGGTGTGTGACAAGGGACAGGGCGCTCTGTGCTCTCTCTGAGTGTGTCACCTCTATATGTTCACCAGCCTGCAAGCTGTCTGGTTTAAGGCTTTCTGTGGCAGCTCCTTTATGCAGACATAATTTTTCTTCTCCCTGTCTTAGAGTCACTGGCTGAAGTCCTTAGAACAATACACAGATTAATAAAAGAAAGGCATACAAGTATACATTTTTCATGATATAGAAGCTTTATTTAAAAACTAAACATCCGGGCCAGGCAGATAGCTCAGTAGAATAAGCGCTTACCTAGCAAGCTCAAGAGTCTGTGTTCAATCCCCAGTTCCACCAATAATAATAATAATAATAATAATAATAATAATAATAAAATAAAGATCCTAAAAAATACTTAAACCTGAATATTATTTACTATATTGATGAAGAATAAAAAGTGGCACAGATATCCCATACAATACAAAAGAATGAGCTAGGTGTAGTAAACTGGGGGACAGAGCCAGGCCTATGTGTTTAGATTCCTCCCTGTGTCTTGGGAGATAAGCACAACCTTTTGCTTTAGGTGTGTGAAGCACTTCTCCCTCACATGCAGTTCTCATCTGCTTCTGAGGAGGTCAGAAAATCCTTCCTAGGTTTTTATGACCCGTTTCAGGGGAAAAGAACGAGACCAGAGAAACCTTCTTGCATATGTTGTGATTATCAGCTTTCCATTACTACAACAAAAATATCCAAGATAATCAACATATGAAGAGGAAAGGTATATTTTGGCTCACAGTTTTAGAGGTCTCATTCCAAGTTGGCCCTGTTGCTTTTGGGCCTATGACAAGGCACCACGTAAAGGTAGAGAGGATGCAGGGGAGCAAAGCAGTTCACCTTGTGACCAGTATGTGAAAGATACAAAGAAGAAGGGGAAGGGCTGCATTATCTTCCTCAACGGTGTCTTTTTGTTGTTTGATATTTTTGTCTTGAGCAAGAGTCTTACTATGCAGCTCAGGCTGACATTGAACTTGTGATCCTTCTGCCTCCTGCACCTCAGCCTCCCGGGTGCTGGTGTTATATGTAGACAAAAACACACCTGGCAAAAGGCCTCATCTCTTAAAAGTTTCTAGCAATTTCCCCTAAGTTGAGGACAAAAGTCTTTAACACACAGGCCGCTGGACCTCTTGGATTGTTTAGATCCAAACTACAGCACTGTTTGTTAAATTCCTTCATCTTAAAAATATTCTAGCCATGCATGGGGTGCATGTCTTTATTCCTAGTACTTGGATGACTGAGGCAGGAGGAGCACCAAGTCCTCAAGGTCAAGCTGAGCTACATAGTAAGAACTTGTTTCAAAAAAAAATTGTGTGTCATGATACTATATTTTGGGATAACCTGTTCCAAATGCATCATACATACAGTTTTTTTTTACTTTTAAATGTCTTCCTGGGCCATTCTCTCCTCAATCTCTGTTATCTTTTTCCTGGGCCAGCTCCACACACTCCCTCTGCTTTAGGCTACTCTCAGGCATGCCTCAGGCTATAGATACACTAGCTCTGTGCTGCTGGGCACTCTCTGAAGACAAAGATCCACGCTGCTCATTGTGTCCCTAGTTCATCCTAACTCTGGTGCTGGGCACATAGAATGTGTTGCTAACACAGAGATTGTTCAGAGTGATGAGAAGGCCAGAGAGACAGAGGACTGAGACAGAGATTGGGTAGTTAGGGAATCTGTCTGCCTAGCAGTTCCTGGTCATGGCTGGGTCACTGAGCCCCAGCTCCTCTTCCCTTCAAAACTCTCTGAAGATCAGCAATAGAACCCCTTTGAATCAATCATTGTGATCAAAGGCCAGGAGCATTCTGAAAATCTGGCACCAGAAAACTTTCTGAGCTGAAGTTTCCTTGAGCTCTGGGTAGATTTCCACAGCATTGCCTAATTGGGTCTATGGAATGAAGTCTAACCTCTGAGCTTCTCACCAAGCTTTAATTGCTTCTGGGATAGGACCCAGCCCCATAGCAGCCCAGCCCGAAGTTCCTGAGAGAGTCTTTATGGGCCTCTGTGGAGAGTAGCATGGAGATTGGAGGAGAGTGTTGGGCCTGGAGGCTGGGCATGGCCTGCCAGCCAGCCCATCCAGGCTGGGGCACTTCTTCCAGCCCCAGGCTTGAAAGTCACCCTTCATCTCCTTGTCTAACCAAGCCCCAAAGTCAGGCAAGAGCTTTCAGGGGTAGCAGCTTGGACCTTGCCCCTTGGACCTCTTTGCACTCAGAGTCATCTCAATGCAGCAGGTAACAATAGTCAAAGAATATATGCCATGAAGAAAGTGTGTGCCCGGGTGATTTTGGTGTAGTTCTGAAGGATCTGTGGTCAGGGCTAGGTAGCCCTCCAACAGGCAAGGGACACAAGAACCAGTCACTTGTTCTGTAGCAGTAAACTGGCAACCTCCCCATTGCCCATGCCTGCCTTCCTGGAGGCACTCAATGAAGTCTGTACTGGACCCCAACTGGGTAAGTACTGGATGACCTCTGTGGCCAGCTTTTTCACTCCTTGGAAAAAGGAAGAAAAGAGGCAGCATGTGAAGAGCTCCAGGAGCGGGCTGGCAGGGTGTGGGCTGGGCAGCATGGCCACTAGCTCTGAGGGTTCTGGCTGCAGCAAGACAGCAAGCTTGGCATGAGTCCAGAAGGTAGACTTAAGACCAGGGGAGGGAGAGGGAAGTTTCAGGTCCTGGAAGAATTCTAACTGGTGTCCTGACCATGATATTGTGAGTGCCTAACAAGTCCCCCACTTCAGAGAGGATTATGAGACGGGGGCTTCTGGGTGAGGCCACATTGCATTTCTATCCCAAGATTCTGTCTCCCTGGAACCAAAAGAGCTTTGCTCTAAAAGTATTTTCTCGTCTTTTCATCCCTGCTATGCTGAGATAATTCCTTTTGGAAATTCTACCATGACATTTAGAAACATGCCACCTTGGGGCTGGGGAGATGGCTCAGTAGAATAAGTGCCTGCCTGGTAAGTGCAAGGGCCTGAGTTCAATCCCCAGTTCTGCCAAAAAGAAAAAAAAAAAGAAAAGAAACATGTCTCCTTCTTCAAGACCATACCTAACTCGCATAGCTGACCTCAATGTCTCCATCTTTAAATGAGGAAGGGTTGAAATAGGTCAATGAGTCCCAAGACTGTGGACTTCAGAAGCATGTACAAACTTTTATTTTAAAGACAAAATAAGCAAACAAAATAAAAACAGATTCCCAAAGCAATCTGCAAAGAAGAAGCCAGAAATCAGATCTGGATATGGGGGGCAGGAGGGGCTACTTGGTGTTGATCCCATGTCTTTCATGTTGAATTACATCCCCAGTCTTTTATAAGTAAGTAAGTAAATAAATAAATAAATAAATAAATAAATAAATAAATAAATTCTTTTACATTTTGAGGCAGGATCTCGCTCTGTAATTCAGACTGACTTTAAATTCACTATGTAACCCAGGCTGACCTTGAGCTCACAACAATCCTCCCACCTTAGCCTCCAGAGTGCTGGGATTATAGGCCACCACACCCAGCTAGAAATCAAAGCGAGCCAGTTTCGAGTCATTTGGCAGGGTCTGACAATATCTGGTGTTTGGACTCTCACTATCAATAAATTGTAACCATCTACAGTGCCTAGGGAGGGAGGCTGAGTAGATCTGCATGTGAACACGTCTGCAAATTGGGTGTAGGTGTGACTGAAGTTCCTATCTGACCCAAGCTGGGAAACATGAGTTCTGAGTAGGCTCCAACAATCAGGTAAGATGCTGCCTCTCCAGCCAAGTCCCAGAGCAGCCAGGTGTGGTCACAGGAAGAAATACCTGAGTCCATCTAGGGAGGAGACTGGGGACTTGGTGGGGAATCCACCGAATAGAATCTAAAAATTCATTTTGGTCAGATTTTGCTGAGAAGGCTGTCAAGATCAGATGAACTGATTTACACTGAATTCATAAGAGACTGAAGTATAAATGCAAAAGAGGTAAGAAACTTTATATTTTCAAGTTAATACACTCTTTCCATATAAGGTTGTCTGTGTGGGAAGTCAAATTACAGTAGAAACTTGCTGGGTGAAGAGCAACCAGGTGAGAGGAAGGGGCCATATGACCTCAGTGGGCAAGAGCTCTATTTACATGGCAGAAACAGAATGAGTCAGAGGTCCTGGCTTCCCTACAAAGTGTTGGAAATGGCATATGTAAATATATGTTAATATCTCTGATCAGACAGAAATGCCCTTCCTTTTATTAAATATCATCAGATTTCCAAAGTCTGTTCTTCCAAGGTTTGCTACATGCCCTGTCTTTTAGATAAATTGGTTTAAAGTTGAATTTCACAGGGTAGCTTTATCTGGCATTTTAAAGATTATACTGTGATTATCATGTATGACCCTAGCAAGTCAGTGAACACATATTCTCTGCCTTCAGTTTCTGTAGGGATGAAGAAGAAAGTTTGAAATGGAAGCATCCAACCAGTCTACTGTGACAGAATTTGTCTTGCTGGGCCTCTCTGCTCACCCAAAACTGGAGAAAACATTCTTTGTGCTTATCTTGTCCATGTACCTGGTGATCCTGCTGGGCAATGGGGTCCTCATCCTGGTGACCATCCTTGACTCTCACCTGCACACACCAATGTACTTCTTCCTGGGGAACCTCTCCTTCCTGGATATCTGCTACACTACCTCCTCAGTCCCTCTGGTCCTGGATGGTTTCCTCACTCCTAGGAAAATCATCTCCTTCTCAGGTTGTGCTGTGCAGATGTTTCTGTCCTTTGCCATGGGAGCCACAGAGTGTGTGCTCCTGGGCATGATGGCCTTTGATCGCTATGTGGCCATCTGCAATCCCCTTCGCTACCCTGTGGTCATGAGCAAGGCTGCCTACATGCCCATGGCCATCAGCTCCTGGGTGGCTGGTGGAGCCAACTCCTTGGTGCAGATCTCCCTTGCAGTACAATTGCCCTTCTGTGGGGACAACGTCATCAACCATTTTATCTGTGAGATCTTGGCAGTTCTAAAGTTGGCCTGTGCTGACATCTCCATTAATGTGATCAGCATGGGAGTGGCCAATGTGATCTTCCTTGGGGTGCCAGTCCTGTTCATCTTTGTCTCCTATGTCTTCATCCTCACCACCATCCTGAGGATCCCCTCAGCTGAGGGCAGGAAAAAGGCCTTCTCCACCTGCTCTGCCCACCTCACAGTCGTGGTCATCTTCTATGGGACCATCCTCTTCATGTACGGGAAGCCCAAGTCCAAGGACCCACTGGGGGCAGACAAGCAGGATCTCACGGACAAGCTCATCTCCCTCTTCTATGGCCTTCTGACCCCCATGCTGAACCCCATCATCTATAGTCTAAGGAACAAAGATGTGAAGGCTGCTGTGAAGGGCCTGGTGGCTGAAAAATGCTTTCCCCTGTGATGGTGGGATATATTCCTGACTCTTATACTCTGAAAGTTATTACTTAGCAATCTGAGATGAGGAATAAGTTGCATTTAGAGGCACGCTTCCCGCGGTGTGGTCCATGGACTTACTACCAGCCTCTCCTGGGAGTTATTGCCAAACGGTTAGGACCCACTGTGGATCTGCTAAGTTAGAATCTTCATTTTAACAAGATCCACTGGGTAATTTGCATGCACATTAAGCTGAGAAGTATTGGGTAAGATTGTATAGAGAGTGCTGTGGGGTGCTGCCCAGAAGCCCATCCCCACCTACCACTGAAACACTCGTCATCCCAGCTGCTGAGCATGCTGGCAAGGGACAGCTTTCAGGTGAGTCCCTTGACTCTGGAAAAGTCATATTCCCTTCTCAAGATGAAATCCATATGCAGTGACTCATCAATGTCAGCATCAAAGCCTAGTCACTCCTGCCTCAAAAGGGGATGTCAGAGGCAGCTGAATTAGATAGAAATACAGGCAGTCAGACAGGGCTAGACCCTTATAGGAGATAACACAGAAGACAAGATACCTTACAACTGTAAGAGGGACGGATGCTCCTGCTGTGGGCCGGATCTAAAGACCAAAGATTAAACAAATACTGACCTCCTGATGCTTAGCATCCAGGGTTGATCATCACCTTATGAAGAATCACTAATGCAACTGGTAACCGACTGGCTACCAGACAAAGTCCTGTTCTATATTCATGCCTGCTTGCTACATGACTCACTTCCCCATTTAGTCCTGGATTTAATCAGTTTTACCTGAGCAATGGTGCTTCTAATCTCATTGGTTGACCACAGTTTTGTCCCACTTCATCCCCACCTAAGCGAGTTCCCATTTTCTCAACTTTAGCCTTGCATGATTTTGCCCTATAAAAATAACCTGGAAGAGACAGCTTCCTGGGCAACCCATTCAGGTCCCTCTTCTCTCTTGGACAAAAGCTTTCTTTCTCAATAAAAGTTCTGCTCTTAACTTTTTTGTTCCTAAAATTAATTCTTTGATTTTAGAGAACACGAACGGATCCTGGGTACCTTTCAGGTCCAAAGTTTCATTTCCCCTATATCAGGGAGACCTCTAAAGAGCCATCCCAGCTTCCCCACAGCCGTTTACTCTCTCCCTTTGCACAGCCCCACTGCCTTCACTAGCACCTGCAGGTATTTGTCTGAAGCGTACATCTCTGTAGCATTCTTCGTGAAAGTCACCCAGGTAGTCAGCTTCTTCCAACCTGGTCTTCAATAGAGAATGGCAGTCTTGGCTCAGGGACATGAGAGGCACAGCCAGGATGGGTCCTTTGCAGGGGCTGCCTGTACCCCGACTCCCAAGAAAACAAACTCAACTCCTTTTGCTCAATGAAAAATTTGCTAACAAGTATTTGTTAAATTAAATTCCTTTAATTTTCACTTTTATCAATTGATTGATTCATATTTATGAGTGTTTTTATTCCTAATAGGAGTAAGCAGGATTGTCTTACCTCCTGCGATGAGGGCTCAGTTGTCTGGTCTATGGCATTTCCTGTGGGGACAAAGATATTTGGGGTCTGGAAAATATGTTGGCTCTCTGACTACAAAAAAAAAATGCTGAACAAATGCTTGTGTTTATCTTCATGCCTACAAAAGGGGACATTATGTCAGCCTCAATAATGGATAAATTTTTATGTTCATGAGTTGTTTTAAAACAATCTGTAGACTGGGTACTCCCAGTTTGCAAGAATTTTCATAATTATTGCCAAAAAAACATAGAATTATCAATTAATGGAGTCACTTGTAATAATAGAAGTGAAAAAACTTCAAACTTACCATAAAATGAAAGTGGGAAGGGCCGGCCAGACAGCTCAGTGGACTAAAGTGAACCTATTTGCTGGCCAAAATACATATTTCTCTTTAAGAACAATTTATATTTTTTTTATAGATACTAGGCTCTGATTCAGAGCTTACCACCCATTCCCTGCCTCATTTCTCAGCCACTTCTAAGTGGAGCTTCTAATCCCCTGGTCCTGCTGAGCAGGCATAATCATGTTCTACACTAGGTGCATCTCACCTTTCTGGAACCAGCTGAGGATTGCATGAAAGAATCTCTGTTCTGCGCTATCAAAGATCTCTCATAAGCCGGTCTTAGCAAGATGCTAGCAACCTTCCTATCTTTTGATGTCAGTGTTATTCTATGGCTTGATCTTTCTGCTTCCTTACCAACCCCTGAGTTCTCTTCTGTCCGAAGCCTCTATTTCAATCTATAATCCTTGTTTTCTTTACTGTAGCAACAGGGAGGAGGGTGCCCAATAGCTCTGGCGGGAAGTGTTGCATTCTTTTTGGAATCTAAGCTGCAACTAGATTCCTCACTGACTGAAAGTATGAATAGCCTGACACTTATTTTTTGATAGCATTTAATGTCCTCTCTGGCCATAGTGGCACAGAGCCTGATCCAGTTGAATCAATTTAATTAGTAATTTTTAGTTCTAAGTGTCAGAAACCCAAAGTTGAATGAGCTCTACAAAGTATTGAATATGCTGATCTATGTGTGGGAGTGAGAGCAGTCTGCTGCACCTACCCAGACACTTCCTGTAAGCCCAGCGCTGGAGAGGCTGAAAGCAGGAGGATCACCACAAGTCCAAGCTGTGTAGTGAGACTGCCACAATCAAATACACTTTTAAAAAAGAAGAAATTATTTATCTACACACTCCAAAAGGAGATATTTACAGCTAGCAATTTTATCCTTTATAGTTGAGTAATACTCCATTATTTACAAAACACATTTTTTTTTCCATTCATTGACTGACGACCATTTGGGTTGCTTCCAAGATTTAGCTATTACATACTGTGCTGCACCTAGTTGCACATGTATCTCTGTGGTATGATGTTCTTAATTCATTCAGGAAGATACCCCGAAGGGGAATAGGTGGGCCAAGTGGAATCTCTAATCCTAGTTTTTTGCAAAATCTCCACACTGATTTCCAAGTGGCTGCACCAGCCTACATTCCAACAGTGTGTAGGAGCTGTTCCCCACGGCCCCTATAACACTTGTTATGGATTGCTTCCTTAATATTAGCCGTTCTTTACGGGATAAGATGAAATCTCATTTGTTATTTGAATTTGCATCTCTCAAATGACCAGTGATGTTGAACATTTTTCCATATATTTATTTGCCATTTGTATTTCATCTGAGGTGTGTCTATTCATCTGAGATGCCCATTTTTCGATTGGGTCTTTGAATCTGAGGGGCCTAATTTTTTCAGTTCTTTATGTATTTTAGATATTTGTCTGAGGAATAGCTGGGAAAAAAATTTTCCCACTCAGTCAGTTATCTTTTCACTTTGTTGCTGATCTCTTTTGCTATGAAAAGCTATTTTATGATGAGATTCTAGTTGTTGTTCTTCGTAGTAATTCCTGTGTGACTGGAGTTTTGTTCATAACAGCTTTGCCTACATCTGTATCTTCAAGAGTTTTACCTGTTCCATCTTTCAGCAGATTTAGTGTTTCTTTTTATTTAGCTCTTTAATCCCTTTTTATTTTAGTTTAGTGAATGGCGATAGACATGGATCTGGTTTTAGTCTGGAGCATGTGGACAGCCAGTTTTCCCAACACTACTGATTAAAGAAGCTGACTTTTGTCCAGAGACCATATTTGACCTCTTCTTCAAAGATCAGGTGACTGAGTGTGTTTGGAGTCACTTTTGCATCTTAAAATCTCTTCCACTGACCATCAGGTCTGTTTTGTTTCGCCAGTACCATGCTGCTTCTATCACAGTAGCTCTGTAGTAGAATTTCAAGTCAGGGATTGTGATGCTCCCAGCCTTGCCTTTGTTGCCCAGAATTGCTTTTGCTATTCTAGGTCTCTTCTGATTCCAAATGAATTTCAAGACTGTTTTCTATCATTCTGCGAGGAATGCTAATGGTATTTTGATTAGGATTGTATGAAATCTGTATAGCAATTTGAGAAGCATGGCCATTTTTACTATATTGGTTCTTCCTACCCAAGAGCAAGGGATATCTTTCCATTTTCTGACATCCTCTTCTGTCTCCTATTTTTGGACTATTGTCGTTTTCAATATAGAGATCTTTTATTTAATGAATTTGTTTTTAAGTTAGCCTCATTAAAATATAATTCACATATTCACCCTTGGAATATAAAAACAATCACTTTTGAGGCATTTCAATCTGACTAGGATGAGTTCGATGAATTTTAACACATGCATACAGTCATATACCCACTATAATCAACAAATAAAATATTTGTGTCACCCCAAACATTCCACATGATCTGATTCTCACCCCCAAGGTTTTTTTTTACCAACTTGTCACAGAAATGAAATCATACAGTGTGTAGCTTTATTAGCGTTTGTCTTTCTACCAATTTGATTTTAATAGAATTTACCTTGGCCACATCCAAACCAGTGATCTAACAACAGGACTACTTCTCTTTAGAACCTGGGCTTAGGTGCTAATGACACTCCAATTGTAGCACTTACTTTAGAGAAGGTGACATACATTATGGCAGAGAAACCCACAACATTTAGCATTAGACTAATCTGAATATTAATTTGAGTTCTGTAAGTTCTTACCCATGTGAACTTTAAAAGTTGACTCAAACATTTGCAAACTATTTCCTGATTTTTATGATTGAATAAAAATACCGAACTCACTGGGTCCTTGTAAAGATTAAATTAAAATGAAAGAATATCTAATAGGTAACCAACAAATAATACCTATCATTAGTATTACTGTTGTTATTATTATTATTGGTGTTGGGTAGAAGATGTGACACCTGCAAGGACATTTCATTCATCATGTATATACACATTCAATGAGGCTCTCCTAACTGTTCATTTTTTCCAACTTGACTCTCCTTGGGTACATGATTTCTGTGCTAATTGTTTTTTAAAGATTGATTGATTGATGTGGTACAAGTTCTCCCTATGCAATTCAGATTCATAATGATCCTTCCGTCTCTGCCTCCCCAGCACTAGGATTACAGGTGTGTGCCACTACAC